TCACTTGAGTCGATTTTGGAAGGGGAGGCGGCTGGGTCTCGACTGATTGGGTTGATGTTCGGTCGGATGGCCTCGACGGGTCCAGATTTCGGCGATGGCGGCTCGACCTCCGGCGGCGACGTCGCGGGGGTGTCGAACCCATTTGATGAAGATCTCGGCGACGGGGGTTTGGTGGTTGGCGGGGTCTCCTCTTTGCCTCCAATGAAATCACCCAGGCCATAGACCATGCGTTCGCTGCGACGATAGCTCTCGTTCACCCTCCTCGACTCCAAATAATCCATCACCGTCTGGGAAATTTCTCTCATGAATTGCACGGAATCGGCATCCAGCCCAGCCCTTGGGCGGTCATCGAAAATGCAGTAGACGCCAATGTTGATGCCTTTCGGGGAGCGAATCGGAACACCTGCGTAGAAGCGGTTATACGGAGCCGCGTCGATGTATGGGCGGTTACAGAAGCGCCGGTCAGCGCCAAGGTCTGGGACTACGGCCACAGGCAGTTCGTCGTCACTGGTCACGGGGCCGCCGGCCTGCACCTCCTCACGAGTTGCCCCGACGAGAACATGTTCGCAAATTCCAAAGGCGCGCGGGATGGCCGTCCCGCAAAGCCACAGGTGGTTTACTGATGGGTATTTTGCGTTCGCGGTCAAAGGCACGGATCTGGTGGCCTCGGCGACAATGTATTGGTGCTGGCGGTCGAAGAGGGAGATGAGGGCGCGGGAGGCGTTCAGTCGCAGGGCTCCCAGCTGCGCAAAGGCAGTGAGGCCTGTGTCGGGCGACGACGAGAGAGCCGAGAACGGGATCGGGTGGTCGGGGCTGTTGAAGACGGCACTGGGAATGTGGAAAGAATCATATCTAGAGACGCAACGCTTGTCAGTAAAGCGCTTCTCGTCCAGAGCTATGGCAGCAAGTGGTTGCGTACTTGAACGTCTCCCACTCACGGGCGCCTTCAGATATCTTGTTCATGCTTCATTCAGGGTCGTATGAGGTTTGCGATGAAGCTCGTCTTGCCCATGGTCTGACGATGGGATCTGGGAGGCGGCAGGAGCAACAATGGGGAGGTTTTGTTCTCAGTGTTGTCGTCACAGGTTGTCCAGGGCCAGGTCAAGGAGGAGGAGCAACGACAGCAGCACGCAGGCAAGCATCTGAGGTGAGGCGGAGGGCATGACTGAAATGCCGCTCCTGCCCGCTGTGGTGGAACAAGGATCCCGGAAGCCGGGATGGGCGCTGTTCGAGACGGTTGGGGGGGCAGGACCTGGTCGGGCCAGTGGCCAATGTGTCTAGCAAAGTGCGAGTGAGAGTGCAGCACCCGCAAAGCACTGAGCAGCAGCAAAAGGCAGGCAAGACATGGAGGTGGTCTTGGTCTTGCAGCTCGCCTAAGGTGCGTTAGTGCGGCCATGGTTGCAGGGCAGCAGGCGGGCAGAAGGCAGATGGATCATGGAACGGCATGGGCCAAGCCAGCGGCTATCCTTGCCCTGGATGGGAAACCGGTTCTTCGGGCAGGATGGCATCCACCGGCGTCGGTCCATGGACCATATCGACTTCGCCATGGTATGGGCCGTCCAAGGTACCTGCCTAGGTATCCAACCATCAGAATTGCCCCTCCTTTTTCCCATGATCCCATCCACCGTCGATGCGCTGCGCGGGAGGAGGACGGCGTGCGTGACCTGGGTGTGTGTTGGTTTGGGCCATTGAGCCTGTCGTTTGCCTTCGTTTTGCGTGTCCCGGGGTGTCCCTCGGAGATTCTGAGATGCGCTAGGCTTTAGTGGCCGTCGAAGAAAGTGTGCGGCTTGTCTCTTTGCAGCCCAAGCCTGATGTTTTGGCGACAGATGAGCCGGACTCCGCAGGGCAGGCCAAAAGAAAAGGTGAGCAGAGTTCAGATGCCCAACCGCTGCAACCTCTGGCGGCACGCCGCAAGTGTGGCCACTAAGGACTGTTTGAGTGTGTGTTCCGGTCAGGCGGCGTTCTGCATAGTGCAGAGGCTGGACGAGGCCGATGGTTTCTTGGGACCAAGGTTTAGGGGTCTGGAGGCGCTCTAGCGCAGCCACACATGTTCTGGAAGGCAGAGACTTGTAGCGTGTTTCGCGGCCTGAAGACGACAAACGAACAGAGGCAGAGGCTAAAACAGTCGAGTTGGATGGTGGTGGGATGGCACAGATGGTTCTTGGGGGGTGTCTGTGGTGGTGGTGTGGCGGCTGGAGGAGGCAGACACAGACACAGACACGCAGACCCCGGCCAATCAACCTTTTGCAAAGTGTGATTTGTGACTTGGGCAGCGAGATCCGAGGCCGATTTCGATGGCGAGAAGAAGTGATCAGCGAACTCAGGTAACGTAGGGCAAAGCTTCGTGGGTTCTGAAGAGCGGCCAGACTCTTTCGCTGTGGGCGGTGGACCATGGGTGATGGACCTTGGTATGGGGATCATGGATCTGCCTCTGGCTCGGTGTAACAGTATCCGCAGGCAGCGCGAGGGTTGGATGGCGTTGTGGTGTGAGTTGAGGTATCTGTACACTGAGTGCCGGTGTCGTGTGGGCATCATGAGCGAAGGATGGATGCCGCAGTGCCAATCCAATGGTCACCGGCCGCCCATCACTGGTTGAACGGTCACCGCCTCGCCATTGTCGGCACTGTCATCCTCCACCTGACGACTTGATCGCGATGAACCCATCGCGTTCCTTGGAGCGACGACCTTGGTTGATGATGATTGATGAAAGTCTGACGATGCACCGACGGCAGACTCGCGGCTGAAGGCAGCGCAACGGCCAACCAGAAGGGTGCGACGGTGACGGGACTGGCTCCGGGATCCCTGAAATGGACCCCCACCATCTGTACGCCCTGGTGGTTAGCCCTTGGTTGGTGTGCCCCTGGTTAGCCCCCAATGTAGCGCCCCTTGTTGATGAACGGCCGGCTGGTGGAAAGGAGAGAAAAAAGCTGGCATCGATGCAAATCGGAGATGCCGGGAATGCAGCTGATCGATGAGCTTAGGAATGGAAGATTTCGAGGAATGCCGTGACGGGCAGGAAGGAATGGAATTGCTGCTCAGTCGATGCTGCAACCGCAGGCAGGCGCCATTCTTTGCTCTTTCCTGAGCCCCATCAGCTGTTGGCAGGGCGGGCAAGCGCAACCATCAAACAGGCAGGATCCCTCTGGGGTGCACCTTCCGCGGCGCAATGACTGCGGCAAGAGCAACGCCAGCAACAGCAAGAGCAACTGCATCTCTCAACACGGCAACCACTGAATGGGGAGTCACGGACAGGCAGTACTTGTTACAATCACAGCAACAGCAATAGCAGCAGCGACAGCAACAGCAGGTGCACTGCAAATGCAGCACTCCCTCCACAGTGCGGCTGCGAAAGTCAATGTCCAAGGGAAGGATCAGCCCCTCAAAACTGGCTATTGGAAACTTGGAATCTGATAAATTGCAGCAGCGGGAAGCTGGGAAGCAGCAGGGCAATTGACTCGTCGTGACCCGCTCTTTCCCTCTTCTCGACATTGTGGAGTCGCTCTTCCCTGTGAACTCTGACAGGCCCCGCAAATATGCTGTAATCCCGTACCGTGACTCTACAGTGTCTGCACATGGCCTCTCACGTGCGGCCAATAGAGATCCGGCAAAGACTACTGAAGGGAAGGACCGCCAGGTACGTACCCGTTTCGGGACAGGTTGCTTCCTGCTGCAGGTCCAAATGTCCCCATTTTTCCCGGTACGTACCCCATGCGCCTTCCAAGTTCCGATTGCAGCTCTGACACGCACTTCATTTCGACCGCAACCTCATGATCCTCCATCACCACTTCTCACCACTCACTGACCAACTCCTGACGGCGGCATTATGTCCTCTGCTATTGCATGAGCCACGCGCCCGTTTGTCTCCCTCATCGCTAACACGCAGCTCGACATCTTGGACCCCTTTTCTTCAGCGGCCTCCTCCCGTCCCGTCGCCGTCGCCGTTAGTTAGGTTGTCATCCAGTCTCTATTCATCCATCCACCCACTTAATGCGAGACTTGGACAAGAGGGGTCCAAGGGGTCCAAAGCGCGCATTCGTTTCTGGTCCATTTCTCCGTGGATGGTAACACTTTCATCTCTTCACAACCAAGAGTTTATGAATAGCAGCAATTCATCATCAGTCGAGTCACTTTCGCCCATTCTTTTCGGTGCCACATTCATGCAACACCCAAAAAAAAATGAGACGAAAATACGTCCCGCCCGCCTTCAGCCCAAACCATCGTCATCTCATCTCATCTTTACCCTCGCCAACCCGCTCCCTCGATGTTGTTCTCTTGCCAACGCCTTTGTTGCTGTGCTTCACATCGTCACCATCAGCAGACCAGCAGACCGTTGCAGCCTGTTTGGGGGCCCAACTCGGAGCAATGAGCATCGCCTGAGGACCCTTCCTGGACCCTGATTCAGCCCCTTGCCCGTCCCTCATCCCTGCGGCGAGCATCCCGTCGAATGGCACCGTACCTCGCCCTGGACGACCACCCCCGGCCTCCTCACTACGTAAGACCCCGAAGACCCCGATCGCTCCCCCGGGGCGGCCATGCCACCCGCATCGAGCCTTGAATGCGACATCGACCCGACGGCTCGCCCGGGGTTCAACCTACCACCGCCGATCACCACCACACTGCGCACAGTAAATCCGAAGCCGTTTCTTTATCGCTAGAACCTTCTAGCAGGCGGTAATCACGATGCTTGGCATTGTTGCTGGGTGATTGCTCTCACATGCGCGAATGAGGAGCCAGGTTTCAAGATCCGGCCAACGAGTCTGGAAATCAAGTTCGGAAATCAGGCTTCGGAAATCTCACCTCACGACGTAATTACGACTCAGACACCGCCCATCTGCATGACAGCGAATTTCTGTTCTCAAGCACCTGGGGAGAGCAGGCCCTCATGAGCCTCATGGAAATTGGATGCCGCGACATGCCGAGGCATACAACAATACTTTGCAGTATTACGGATAACACAACTGGATGTGTGCAACCAGCTGCTTGTCTGAATCCCATCTATCCTACGCACCATCAACAAGCTTCATCCCCCCAATGACGCCCTCGAACCCGCCCCCTCCAACCGTCGCCAGGGGAGCTTCCACCGCAATCGGCTGCCACACAAACCGCGCCCCGTTCCATCCCATGATCGTCAAGAACTCCATCCTATCCCCTCCAACGTCCAAAAATGTCTGCCTCCCCTGCCCGACGAGCTTTGCCTCCGTCCACTCCCCCACGGGGAACGTGTAGTTCAGCGCGTACGTGCTCTCCCCCGAGAACAGCATGACCGCATCCACCGTCCCGTTGCCGAACCACAGCCCGCTGTCTCCACCGCTGAAGATGGCGCCCTTGGCCGCGCTGGTGGGCTTGATCGAGAACGAGAGCGTGTAATTCCGTCCCTTCTGCGTGAGCGGAGTCGTGATGCTGCACGACGGCTTCAACACAGCGCCCTCGTCACTCATCGCACACGACGATTTCGCATGGTACCCGTTGCCCGATAGATCCTGCACCGTGCTGCCGTTGCTCTTAGTGAATTCATATTCCACAATCGTGTCTCCCACACTCGGAATCCTCCTATCAAGATTCTGCCCCGGCGCAGCAGGCTGCAACTTCGCGAACAACCCCGCGTACGCCTCCTCCGCCACCTCCCCTCCCCACTGCTTGTCCGCCAGCGCCGGCAGCCCGTCCCTCCACTGGTAATACGCCTCCGTCACCGTCGTCGCGTTCGGCCCGAAGTCGTTCCACTGCGGCGCCACATGTCCCAGCAGCGCCGCGCTGTCCCGCGCCGCGTTGTTCGTCGCGTTCTCCCGGTCGAACACGTTCGGCGCGAACGCGCTCCCGTCGGGCGACCCGTGGAAGATGAAGTCCAGGCTCAGCTCGTGGCCGTACCACTCGGACCACTTGCCGACGGTGTAGATGTAGTCGCCCGAGTTGAGCACCGCGTAGCCGTTGTTCACAAAGTCCCAGAGCGGGTTGGCTTCGAAGTTGGCCCAGTGCTGGATCGAGACGGAATTGTTCACGTCGCCGCCTGACGAGGGGGAGAAGGTGCCCCAGATGCGCACCTTTTTGCCCGAGGTGGTTGTGATGTAGTCGTTCATCGAGTCCACGAAGCGGGTGTACTCGCCCACCAGCGCCCTGCCCCTCATCAGCGCCATCCTCAGATCACAGGTTCACGGGTTGACTTACTCCTCGCTCAAAGTCGGGTCAACGTACTCATCCGCCCCAATACTCACCGTCTTCGTATGAAACCACGGCAGAAACACCCCCCAAATATCCTGCATAACCGGAATCGTCTCAGGGTTCGACACATTCAACAGACTCAGATCGCTGCTCAGCCCCAGACTCTCCCGCCACTGCGAGATCACCAGCGCGTGCCCCGGGGCCTCGATCTCGGGCAAAATCGTGACGCCCCGCGCGGCGCATTTTGCCTGGACGTCGTCGAAGACCTCGCGCGTGTAGGACTCGTTGGCGCGCTTGTTGAGCCCTGCCAGGGCCGGGTCGTCGGAGAGCAGGCGGAAGGCGGCGTAGAGGGAGAGCTGGCGCTCGCGGGAGTAGATTGCGACGTTGTTGTAGAGGTTGTCGGAGAGGTGCAGCTGGAAGGTGTTTTGTTTGAAGAAGGACATGTAGGCACACATTTCGATCAGGAAGGAGGGCGGGTAGTAGTGCCGGGCGATGTCGAGCTAGGGGCGTGTTAGCATTCTGGTTGATGGTTTGGTGATGAGTGAAGGGGGGGATGAGGAAGGGAAGAAGTGGTAGGGAGGTATGAGATGTCAGAGGAAGAGGGATTCAGAACGATTATGAGAGTTAGAGAGGTAGAAGATATAAAGAAGATGATGTAAATAGGGGCAATAGAGACGACAGAGACGACAAGAACAGTAAGAGGCATAGCATAGAGGTAGACAGGAAATAATTGAGACGTCCGCAAACGCCGGCACGAGCAAAAGAACTCATCGGCGCCTCCAACGCCGCAAAAAGCCGAAAAACTCACCATCATCCCGCGCGTCCCCCATCCGGGGCTATCAACCCCATACCCCAGTTCCACCGCCCCGTCCCCGAGGACCATCTGCTGCAGCACCGACCGGGTGCCCCACCACGCCCCGAGCGGGCTCGCGCCGGCGATGCGCACGCCGTCAATGGTCACGTTCAGCGCGTAGCCCTCCGATGTCTCTCTGCCCGCTGCATCCTTGAACTTTGACGCATCCTCGTCGAGGGTGAGGAAGATGGAGCCTTGCTCTGCTGCGGCGCCCGTCGTCACGGGGATGGAGAGGTTGAGCACGGAGGCAAGGTCCTCAGAAAATGTTTCCGCGAAGGCGAGGAGAGTGGGCGGGATGAGGGTCTCGCCTCTTTCGTCGACTGAATCGGCGAATTGCTCGTGAACGATGATTTTGGTGAAGAAGTCGGGGGCCAGGGTGCCGCCGGTGGTGGTGTACGGCACGGTCGGGAGGCCGGGGAGCGAGTCCGCTGCGGCGCGGAGGCCGAGCGTCAGCGCCGAAGCAAGAGTCGTGAACCGCATCGTCACGAGTGATGGATGCAGTGCGCCAATGGCAATGTCTCAGTGACTACACCTGTCAGAATTTGTCTACAGCTAGCTATGCTATATAACCACAAACCTATGGAAATCTCGATCACCAACTGACATCACACGATGGCTTCCCGGCGCGCGGGGTAACCCCCGAATGAGGGGCGAGCCGAAATGAGGAGCTGTGCGATTGTAGAAGGTGACAGCCGCGGATCAACAGGCCGGTTTTTACCCCTCAGAACACAACAACGGGATCGTATCATTGAGCTGTAGTTAGCGTATCTTGCAGTTGTACTTTGCTGTGCAATTGTGATAGCAACGTTGCAATTTGCGTGGCATATCCGATTATCAGTGGCCTTGCTCTTTTTGCCGTGGTGTTCGGGCCGGCTGGGTGGGGTCTGCCGAGCTGCTACTGCGGAGCTCGAGGGGGAGAAGATTGCCGGGGTTTGACGGACGATAAAGCTGGGGTAATTGGCATGTTTGGAACGTTGTAGATGCTGGTTGAATGAATGGGTGATTTGACATGTTATGTTACCCTGGATGTTGGTACTTGTTATCCTGGCCAGATAGACGAACCCGGTGCAAATGCTGATGACGATGATGCACGATTGTTGACCCCGTATGAGAAATCCACGGTCCCGATGCGGCGGTTTGTTCTACAGTCCCACTCATGGAATAGTATCATCTGGTAGGATTACCGCTGCGGGTACCAAAAGATGATAACTTAGAGATCTACGGTTCCGCTCGTAAATAAAGTCAAATTAAGACGGCCACTGGTTGATCCATCCCGCTCTGTCCGTCTGGTTAATCGAGCCATCCACTGAGATGCGGCTCCATGTCTCAAGTAGTGAGGAGATCAGCCAGCCACACCTCCTCAACGTCACCTCGCTGAACTCTCCTTGATGAGTATTTGAATGAAACAGATCAAGCATACTTCCAACGCCCCTCAGCTCTACAGAGTGCTCGAAGTGGCAACTAGCTCTCCACTAATTGAATCATCAGAACCTTTCCTCAATAAGGTACCTACTTTCACTGAGCTCAACATGGCTCAGAAACAGTTCGAAAGTCAGGCCCAAGCCGCTCTTGAGCTACAATCCCAAATCACCACTGCTGTTGGCCGGCTCAATTTCCCCGGCGGGCTTGGTTCTAGCAGTGCCGAGGTCGCCAAAGGGATCAATCAGAAGATTGACGCCAAAGCTTTTCACAAGCATAACCAGTCGGGCATTGTTGAGGCCCACGCTTATTTCGTTGCCACTAAAAGCGATGGCAAGCAAGCATTCGAGCTGAAAGTCATCTGGGGTACTGCATCCCTGCCCCCTTGGTGCTCGCTTGATGATCACATAGTTGGCTAACGGGAAACTGATGCGTAAAGATGCTGACAATCCGCCTGTGGGCAAGACCCAAACGGCGCACTTCGGGTGGGAGATATACCTCGACGGAAAGAGAGTTGCTGGACCGGGACATGTGTTTTTTGCACCAGATGTCATCTTGCCGAACTACCGAAACAACAAAAGAGACCAAGTTGAGGTGGCATCTCTCAGATTGAGCAAGAGCGGCGGTATTGGGACGGGGCAAATGCAGAGCACCACCAACTACTATCGGCTCGAATGAGCAGAAATGTACCGTACACTCCAAGCTCTGCCATAACGATCAACCATTCTGTTGTTACTTAGAGATGGTGGGAAATAATCAAGAATCTGGTGCACCAAGCACCAATAGAATTTCAGCAGATCATTCTTTATTTCCACCATTAGCAACATCTACGTTGTGGATTCTTCGTCAACTTCCATGCCCCCTCCGCAATACAGACATCGTACCGACCTTTCGAAACCTTTCGTTCGAAACACAACCTGGGCTACGCGCGGCAACATGATCCAAAGCACATATCGGGGTCTACCAAGCATTAGACCAGGACATTTGAGTATGTTTCAGAGAACTGGACTTCTTACTCCTTCTGTCTGCTTGCACAGGCGACACAGACTCTACAACAGTGAAGGTAGCTGTGGTAGGCCAGAAGATGACAACCTTTTGATTGCCACTTCTGCGGTGCCTCCGCTATCAGTATATGCCACGAAGTGATTATGCTTCAGGACAGTGTTTGGAACGACACAGAGAAAGACTCACCCTACTGGGGCGGGCGCTGGCTTGAGTGAGTCTGCCACGCGCTTGATCCAACGCATCCACTGCCCTTGTGGGTGTGGTGTCTCCTTTTCTTCTTCACTTGGCCCCTGGGCGATATCTTCACAAAAGATAGCTTGTTGATAAGAAGGAGGACAGGGTTGGTTGCCAACGCTGTCCTGAAGCCTAGGGTGATATGGCGGGCAAGGTGTTCCAGTATCGCGTCGCCCAAAGGTGTCTTCGTTCATATCGATATACTGATCCATTTCAAGCGGCGACCGGGGCCTTCAGCTCTTGTGATCAAGAAGTATCTTACTGCAACGGGTCATGCGTAGTCCCGGTGCCTTCTTATTTAACATGCTTACACAAACGGTGTGACTGCGTCGGCCAAATGACATCGCCGAGTGCGCAATTGGCTTCCAGCGTAGTTTCGCCGAAGCTATGATGGCAAAAATTATTTCCCCGACTTTTTTGCTCGTATCAAAGTTTCTATCCACAATCGTGTTCACGCAATTTCAATCGAATGACAACAGTCCTCGAGCCTTTCCGGCGCTAGCTTCATACCTTTTCACAAAATGCTTTGTACATGAGATGGCAGACAAAACGTTTCAGAAATGCCTGTTTGATAGACCTGGCCCAACTCTGTTGCAGTTAAGAGGAACAGTGGAGAGACCTTGGCATGATCTCTGACAACCTGACGCCATCTCTGAAGTAATTCTCTGGCTCGCACGCCAGTTTCAGCACTGGGGGCCTGAACAAGTAACAACATGAAGAAATTGGAGGCCACTACTAAACTGAATTTGGACCCTGTGCGAGATGTTAGCTTGGAACAAGCACTTTATGATTTAGATCGTTAGAACTCACACGAGTACCAAAAGAGGCTGAAGTCGCTTGAAGTAAGATAGAGAGTAAACTTAACCATCGTTTCCGCCCAGGTCTGCGCCGCTTGGTGAAGCTCCTTGATCGTTGCACTCGAGTCTGGAGCGCCGTCCTCTAGTTGCAACTCCAACTCTGGAAAGTCGGAGAAATTCCAGCTCAGGTCCTCAAACAGAAACCCCGTATCTGGAAAGGTCTGGGGCTCGGCGTCGACATCGATGATCTGCGGCGGAGGGGCAGATCGGACTGTGGGACGAAGGAGGGCTCGCCACGTATACGCTACCAAGGAAAGGTATGCGAGTGAGATGCAAGCAGGGTACGAATCCTGATTGTCGTCCAGTGAGATTCTTGACTCAGGAAATGTCTCTGGTATCGAGACGGAGGCCCGCCATTGATGTAAGGCATCGAAGATCGGCCGCGCAGCTTGAATAGAATCTGGCAGGTTCTCCGCCAATTTCTGGCAGGACTTCAAAGAGCTGGTTTTATGTCAGTTTTTTCAGTTCAACTGAAGGGCAGTCGACCTACTATAAGTCCGTCTGTAGTTTCTCTGCGATCAGTGATAGTCTGGCCAGGTCCCGAAATGCAGACGCCTTCGAAGTATCCATCTCGTTCCATGGTAAAAAGTCGAAGTTGACGAGCTCGCCGACATCCCATTCATCGTTCCGAATGTAAGGAGGCCGTCCTGTATGGAGAGAGAGGAATTTGTCTTGTATAAAGACTGCCCACCACAATCTTCGGCGGAGTCTCTTCTCCTGAGCAGGAAAACCCATCATACGACACTCCAAATGTAGGCCTAGATTATGTGCTAGTCCCACAACTGTTCCCATGAATGGCCAAATAGACGCCGTATCCGTTACAGCAGACTGCCGCGGACTCTCATGGTTCCGATGAAGATACAAGATTGCAGCTTGAAGAACATGCAGATGGGGCTTGCAAATTTCCTCTTGCATGCTTGCATAACAAATCTCCCAGACTTCGTCCAGGTTGATGTGGTCACAAGTCAAAAGGGCTACCAAATGATCGTCTTGGTGGGCGAACGGGATAGCCGAGCCATATAAAGCGGCCAAAAGATGCGTCGGTGTTTCTGTTAGGATGTCTGCCTGAGGGAGGGCATCCTGCGATGCCAAACCCATTGTCGTCCGAGAAACTATGGGAAGCATCTTGAAGACATACTTGTGAAATCTTGACGAGCACAAACAGGGTTAATGATGGACCGGAGTTGAAGATATGATGTATCAAACTCACAGACGAACAAGCCGAGCCCCTGCGGACTGCGGCACCAAACAGTCTAGTCGCCTCCGCAACTCTATGGCCTTTAATCCGGCGTTTGAACTTTGGTATAGAGCGTCTGTACTGAGCAGAAAATGCACCGGAATCTTGTCCGCCGTCGGCACGCCACCAGCATTTCGGACATGCAACTTGTGGAAGCTCCGCAAGCCCAGTTCATCGAACCGAAAGTGACGAAGCAGCCAGGGATCTGACCCTGAAGAGCTTCCGAGGAGCATAGCACTATGACCGTCCATATTATCAAGACTCTGAGAGATCTGAGTCGTAGGCCGGTCAGGCTGTCCACCAGCGGAAGGGGAAACATCAGCGGTCTGACTGAACGCGATGAAAGGCTGGTTCTGAGCAGAAGCAGCAGCCTCACCGACTGCAATTGCAGCACTCGGCAGGTCGTCCACCGCATCAGTCACATCTCGTACAGAGGAAGAAGCGCGATCCAGTTGTCTTGGCGATGAGTTCTGTCTCGCGCTGTGCTTCTGAGCCAGTGATCGCTTATGGGGTCTTCCAACGTATGTGCATTCGACATCACTTTGTTGACACCTTCGACACGGTGGCTCGCCCTCTGTCTGGCATTTCAGCTTCATCTCTCGGCAACGGTCGCATGGCCGATGCCGTTTTTGCGACCGGTAAGGTCGTGTGGTTTCGGCGGCTAGGCTCGTGGTCCTCGGCGTTGGAGGCATTGGGAGCGGTCAAATGATGCACAGCGATGCTACTAAGGTGCAAAGACCAGACTGCTTTGGTTCTGGAGATTTCGGCGAATGCTGGTTATGAAGCAGCGTTGGTGGTGTTGTTGGAATTTGCCGGAATGATGTCAAGTTCGGCGAAATGAGGGGAAGAAGCACGCGCTGCTACGGCGAAAATTGGACGTCGGCCAAACCGATTCGGCGAACTCTCCAGTGGCCGAAACGCTATGTGAAAGGAAGCCGATTCGCCCATTTAGTTGGAAGAGTGATGTATATGTCAAATTAAATATACGGATCTCTTGCAGCTAGGTCTCTATTCTCTCTCGCCGACCTTAAGTTCCGCGCATTTGTCTAAAGCAATAATATTAAAAGCCCACAAATCTCCAGCTTTGATCTTTGGTTGCTTATCAACTGCATCTGCATCATGCACATCTATTCAATTACACGGCTACTGCAAAACGAAAAGATGAAGGTTAGTGTCACTCAATCCCGCATAATACATATCTCAACGTCGACTGATGAGAAAACAGTCTAGCCATTCCCAAAAGGGTGCCGAGCCGAAATGCACTCAAGCACAGAATCAAACCAGGTCAGAAGCTCTCACCTCAGACCTCGAGCTTACTGATGACTCCCTAGAGGAGGTCTATCCGGAAGGCGGCGTAGCTGCATATTTGGTTGTTCTTGGAAGTTTCTGTGCCATCATGGGCGGCCTAGGCCTCATGAACAGCATTGGAATCTACCAATCTTGGATTTCAACCCACCAACTTCATGACGTCGATGAAGGAAAGCTTGCCTGGATATTCGGCCTCTTCAATTTCATGGTCTTCTTCTGTGGCATACAGATTGGCCCTGTTTTTGATGTTCACGGACCAACATGGCTCATGGCTGCAAGCATTGTGCTGTACGTGGCAGTCTTTGTCTCCATTGGTTTCTGTGAGGAGTACTGGCATTTCCTGGTTGTCATTGGTCTTGTTGCGGGCTCGGCGACGTCCATCATATTTGTCGTGCCTGTTGCGACGGTGGGGCAGTACTTTCAAGTCAAGCGCGGAGCAGCAACTGGTCTGGCCATGGCCGGGGGCAGTCTTGGAGGCGTCATGTTCCCCCTCATATTCGACAGCTTGAGCGAGATGATCGGGTTTGCGTGGACAACTCGTTCGATGGGGCTGATGACCATTGTTCTTTTGATGATTGGCTGCCTTCTCGTACGCCCGCGAGTATCTTTCCGCGATACCCTGCCATTGAACAAAAGTATCTTGCCAGACTTTCGCATCTTGCTACAACACAATGTGCTCTTGATGACCATAGGAGTCTTTTTCATCGAGTGGGGATTCTTCATTGGACTGGAGTATGTTGCGTCATACTCCCTTGTTCACGGCATTGGCAAGAGGCTGTCATATCTCATGATTGTGTTTCTCAATGCCGGTTCCGTTCCAGGCAGGTGGTTGCCTGGATTTGTCGCCGACAGGTTCGGCCGGATGAACACTATGATCGCAACAAACGTACTCTGCATTATCGCCATCTTGGGCATATGGTTGCCAGCCAGTGGCAGTGTTGCAGCCGTCATAGTCTTCTGTGTTGCCTTTGGCTTTGCAAGTGGAAGCAACATCAGCCTGGTACCTGTTTGCGTGGGCGAATATTGTTCCACTCAAGATTATGGGCGATATTATTCCACTGTGTACACTGTCGTTAGTCTTGGGTGAGTTATTTCCTCTGTAAGAGTTTGATGAGCTGGGTGGCTGATACTTACAGGGCATTGACTGGTGTGCCTATAGCTGGAGCAATTCTTGAGAAATCGCACGGTTCCTATTCTGGACTAATAATCTTCGCTGGGGTCTCGTATGTTGCTGGAACTGCTTGCTTCGTTGGGCTCGTTGTTTTGCACCGACAGTCCTCTTGAAATCACATGTTCTGGCGTCAGCCAACACATCGTCTGGAAGCGGGCTGCAATGATGGATAGATCGTCCTCTTATTACTTTATCCGAAGACTGGCCGTTCGCTCATGCACCAGTTTCAACATCGAGAACAAACTAACCAACAAAATGAGGAGACTGGAGTTTGAAGATCACTTAGAAGTTGTAGGTAGACACGGTATTGCTTGATGACAGTCCACAACAACACAATTACTAAATTGGAAAAGTCTTTTGAAAAGGCGGGTGAAGCAAATCCCAGCAGCATTTCTGCCCGAGACTACGCAGCCTGACGTTCTTTTTAGACTAAAGAATCCAGGAGGTGCACATTTATGCGCCTATTTTCCTGCCTCCTAGTTTACTCACCAAGTAACCAGAATCGGGCCTCGGCCGTTGATATAGACATCACTACCAAGCCGACAACAGCGACATGATAGTCTAGATTTGCTATTAGATTACCAGCGCGTGGTTGGCAACCACGGATCACAATATCGATATTAGCACTGTCTATATAAGCTCTTCTGAGACCTGCTGTATCCACGGACCACACTCGCTGTTAGGGATGTCTTTGAAATCGCACTGCCCTACAGCCTCCTCGACGCCCAACTCGAGCATTTGGTTGATCCATGCAGGTATGGTTTCCATGTCTGGCGTCTGCTGTCTTGGCATCTTACTGAGAAGTTGGGTTAGGGTTTGAGCTCCTACCTGAGCCATATTGCTCACTTCCGCAAGCATTCGCAGACGTGCAAGCGCGTCATCAACCGCGCGCAAGCATTGGTCCCGAGATACGCGAGCCTTCCCAGTCCCGAGAGGATCTATCCTGAGCGTGGTGAGAGGGCCATCCTCACTCTTGCCCGGAAAGTCGATATCCGTACAGAGGCCGACAAGCAGAACGGCAGCTTCAAATGTTGGAAAGATGATGCCCACGAACCGTGTGTGGCAGCCGCCTAGTATGGTGTGCAACTTAGAGACGCTTTCCAGCACCCTCAATGCTGCCACGGCCAGAGCCCTTCTCTGACACGATAGAAGAACTCGCTTGTATACGGGAAGCCTATTGAGGCAGGCTGGGTTCTGAAGCAGTACCGGGCGAAAGTTGCAGCAGAGCGACTCGAAAATGGTGGTATGCAGGTTTTGCCTCTGCAGAGGCAGCATAGGTAGACGCTCGTCCCATTGCGTGCTGGAGTCCAGAGCGAAGGCCGGCGGCAAAGTTGCGAGAAATCCGTTGCAAAACTTCTCGTATGTTGCTTCGGCCACGGTCGCGTCATACTCTCGCCTTGGTAAGAAGTCTCTCCAAAAGGACGCCAGACGGGCTTGGATCAAACGTTCTGAGAACTCTTCAGGGGCGTCGGCGTCGTCGACATTTGGACTGAGGTGCATCCGTGGAAGGTTTTCGTCGGTCAAACCCGAGGGCAAAAAAGGGGACATGTCAAGTTGTCTCGAGAAAAGGCTGAGTAAACGTTAGCTATGAGTCATCAAATATGAGCCGTCGAGGTAAGCGTGGTACCTATCCCATATGAAAAGGTTGCAGTACACCCTGCGACGCATTTCCTTGTCTAACTCATTCATTCCCGTAATTGTTGCCGCAGGCCTTCGATCAAGTCCAATTCTGTGTGCGACTCGAACCGCGTCGCCAAACGCTTCCCAAAACATCTTATTTCGCCCTTCGCACTGGTACCGTAATCCCGAAAAGAGCAGATGCTGCACGCGTAGAAGAGAACCCTTCCCGTCGAGTCGAATGCAGATTGCAGTAAGCTTGTCGGCGACATCGTTGATTGAGTCCCGAATGTCCGTCAGGGACATGCCTCTGATCTTATCGATGGTGTAAGACGGCGAGGGGAGAAACTGCAAAGCGTGAGAACACATCCTCAGGAGTAGCACTGCGAACTCGACGTCAAGTGTTGATGACGGTCGTTCCGAGTTCCACCATACTTGGTACTGTGCCAAGAACCAAGGTGGGTGCACAAGTTGTTCCATCCTACGAGAGGCAATTGTTAGTCGGGTTTCCAGGTTGTCACTAGCTGGCAGCGCCGCGATACGAACCAGTGGATTTCCATCACATAGTATTGCACGAGAAAGTCAAGAATCTGACGATCGGGCATTCTTTCTGTTTGATCTTCAACTTCCTCCAACGACTCTAGAGGGATAGGCGCGCATTGTCTGTCTCGGATTTGGTGATTTCTCAGCCCTAACTATGTGCAGCTGTCAGAAATGATATATCACGAATGGTGGAAGAGCCAAGAAAATCGCGGGTAGCTTAAGCATGTGATGAGAGAAGGGAGTGAAGTGCACTGACCCCGCAGACCACAGCCATAGTATTAGACTCGCTTTCCTCAAAATATCCAAACACTTCGGCTATCGAATCAGCCACGTCGATCCTACTCTCCTGGTCTGTGATACTCTGAGCAGAACCGCTGCTACAGTTCTGTTGAATGCGGGTGTCGTGTGCTGTAGGAACATCTTCGTTTTGGCGAGCCTCCGTTTGAACTGGTGAAATGTTGGCTTGCAATGCCTGCGAGTTGTAGTAAGCGCACTCCTCGGGTCGCCTGCGCCGAGCGCAATGATTGCATGGATAACGACGATTGCACTACGCGGGCCCACGAGTTAGGACTGATGAACGATGTCTCACTCCAGGAGGTTGTGGGCAAATCTCCAGACCTTCTGCTTCCTAGTATAACACGGAATACAAGATGACACAACACGCTTTCGGCCAGACTTTTGCATGTCCGATGTTTCTGGCTCGGATCTAGAAGCAATGCGGAAAGCATCCATCTGATTTGACTTTCATCTAGTTTCCTGGGCGAAGACCAGAGCTGTAATACGGCAAAAGTGATGGAGGGTTTTATCATCAGCTTATCCATCGAGCCTTGTGGTCGGCGACTGGCCAGATAGAGCCCGGAACAAACTGTTGGAGACAATGATGAGAGCTTGTATTATTCTTCAGCTGCCTTGCAACACTCAAAGTTCCTCTGTGCAGCTTACATACATGCCTGTCATACCAGCATGCGAAGTATTTTGTCTCAAGGCTCGCTGGGCGAATTCGTCTTTATGTCTTGACATGAGGTTATTCTCAATTAGTAAAGTGTATCATCGCGCCCACAATAGCCACTTCTCCCCCTACCCCCTAATCCTGATGGACTAGGGTCTTTTAGCTTTATGGCGGAACTAATGCGGCAATTCTCCGGGCCCGGTCCGTCGTCAAACTAGGATCTAGCCGACCTTCGTTCCACATGCCGTGCTGCATCGGTTCGATTACGCAGCCGTCTCTTGCAGGAATGGCGCGGGCGTCGAGGGACTTCCGTCAAGGGTTGCCGTGGGGGATGATAAGCGAACTCGATTGCCCCGGTAAGTAGACGAGTCCCCCGGACTTAACGGACAGGCATGCAGCAATCCTTGGATGTTTGTGACTGTAGTGTTTCGGCCCTGATGGCGTCAAATAATTCATCGCTGAGTTTCATCAATCATTGGTCACGACGTTCCTTTCATCACGAATATCCGTCGTGGGTAGATGAGTTAGGGGTGAAGGGTGACAATCATACGAGAGCGGTCTTGCAGCAAGCCTCATTGAAGCACACTTTCATGACTCACGTATCCCAGCTGTAAGCATTCAATATGCCTCCTCATCAGTCCCAGTTGCTGACTCGCATATCTGTCTTGCGCGTTCCGATGGTGCTACGTGACGGTCTAGGGTCTTCATATGGTCGGCCGATATTTTTCGCCCGAAAATCATCGGCTTAGGTACGGCACCTTAACATTAGCTTGCGACTGTGACAACACCGCGATGTATTGCTTGTCCATCTAAAGATCAGGAGCACTTACCGCTCAATATTGCGATGAAGTCTAGAGAATACGAAAGGGACACATGCTGGGTCTTCCTCATGGTGTTGTCGCCTGAATAGATAAAGCCAAGCTCTCAGATCTTCACTTTGCATCAATAGACGCTATGAACCATATCTTTCTTTGTAGTTTGTGCTATACATCACAATGGCTCTTTCAGATGCGATCCAGCTTCTCGGATGCGGGCTGCTGCCAACGCCACTCGGCCTTCTTGCCGTACTCGGGGTCCTTTATCTCTTATACAAACGGTTACTATTACCCCGGCCCCTTCCGGGTATTCCGTACAATCCGGAGTCAGCCCACAAAATCCTGGGGGATGCCCCAGACATGCTGCGGGAGGTCAGCGTCACCAGAGAGCTCAACGCGTGGCTACTCAAGCAGGTGAACACCTTGCAGACACCCCTATCCCAGGTGTTTGTGGATCCCTTTTCGAAGCCCTGGGTACTTCTCGCCGACGCCATCGAAGCCCAGGATGTCATGATGCGGCGGCCCGAGTTCGACCGGTCGGACTTTATCACCGACGGGCTGGGCCCGGTGGGCGCCTTTCATGCCCGGATGAAGAGAGGCCAGACCTGGAAGCAAACAAGAGCCTGGCTGCAGGATCTCATGACCCCCAGCTTTCTGAATGGGACGGTCGGCCCCGTCATGTACGACAATGCGCTTCATCTCGTCCACTTCTGGGAGATGAAAGCCCGCTTGGGCAGTGGGCGACCGTTTGACGTCAACGAGGATCTGAATCACAACGCTCTCGACGGCATGCTCTCCTTCGTGTTTGACAAGCACTTTGAGCACACTGCTCTGGGTCCCCAGTTCAAGGCTCTCTATCGGCTAGACCCCTCAAGCATCGAGATCGGGACAGACGGAGAGGCCAAATTTCCCGAGGCACCGGTTCATGAGTTCATTTCTGCACTTTATGAAACGGTTGAAGGCATTGACGAAGTGACCAAGTCTATGTTCCCGTGGCTGAAGACATGGTGGATCAACCAGACACCGAAGTTTAGGAAGCTAGTAGCAGTGAAGAGACAAGTTGTGCGAGAACAAATCCAAGGCTCTCTTAGGAGGTTAGATGAGACGGGGGAAGCCAAGACGGCAGTGGAATACATGTTGATGCGTGAGCAGAGGACTGCGGAAAAAGAGGGCCGCAAACCTGATTTCGAGAATCCGATTTTGATGGACGAGGTAAGATTGAGAGCGCTCTCAAACACCAAGGCTTGGAAGCCCATCGATGTCAGGTACTGATGTGGAGAACAGATTGCAGGGCAGTTCATAGCTGGCTTACACACAACCAGCACGACACTCGCCTGGACATTCATCTACTTAACTCGACTCCCGGAAATCCAAGCCAAGCTGCGGCATGCGCTGCATACGGCCTACACCGATGCGCACAATCAATCTCGGACACCCACGCTAACCGAACTGAGCAAGACACGGGTGCCCTATCTTGAAGCTGTGTTGGAGGAAGCGCTCCGGCTGCATGCCACCAGCGTAGCACGGCAGGCAACCCGCGACACGGAGGTATTCGGCCATCGCATCCCCAAGGGCACAAACGTGGTCATAGTCGCCAACGGCCCGGGCTTCCACGCGCCATCCTTTGACGTGGACCCTAGCCGGCGCAATGCGACGGCCAAGACGACAGTGGGGTGGGATGAGGGGCGAGACATGAAGGCGTTCGACCCAGAGCGATGGCTCACACGCGGGGAAGTTGATGGAGCAGTAGAGTTCAACGCAAACGCGGCGCCACAAATCGCCTTTGGCATGGGTCCTCGCAGTTGTTGGGGTCGCCGACTGGCGTATCTAGAGCTGCGCATGGTTACGACTCTTGTGGTGTGGACATTTGACCTGCTCGAGGTCAGCCCATCACTTGCCGATCCCAAGGCCAGTTACGGGATAGTCCACAGGGCAGATCGGTGCTTTTTGAGACTCAGACCCCGGGTGGACATTCAGAAGAATGAGGAGTAAACACCGTTGAGATTGTTGCAATGTTACTCGGTGCCTCTTTTCCGGGTAAAAATGTCGAATGTTTCTTCCGCATTCCTTTCGTTATCAGCTTGGGAATAATGCAACCTCCGAGGAAAAATACTGTTTATGCATATGCACATAGTCAACGGAGATCCCGAGTTCTTACCGCGTGGAGGTTACTCGACTACTTATTGGTCGGAAACCGATGGGATGGATCAAATCCTTGCCTCGACCCAGGGTTGTAACATTTCTTCTTTCCTTTTGAAGCAAAAGCTGCCAGCAAAGTCGTCTGACATGACCCATTATTTAGACTCCGTACGCCGCGTAAAATTTTGCAAGGGATTTGGAGAATCTGCATTGCCACAGGTTTTCCTGCAGCCGTGATGACTCTAATCTGCCTGAGGGCAAGAGGCCGCCAAAGATGTTGCATCAACTAGGATACATTTACTGTGAATGCGAGCCCTGGAAGGCTGCATTTGGGAGTATTATTCTGGGATTCCAAGTAGTGAATTGTGATTTGACGTCCGCTCTCCACCCATCTCATGACGTGCTCCCTGGTGACGACGTCGCGGTCAGCAAGTATAAAGTATCTCGCGAAATATGCTCCGAAGCAATATTTGCCAAAATCGATACGCATCTCGAAAAGGCCTTGATCTGCGCTACGAGTAGCGCTCAGCGCGGGATGGAAAGCAATGTCACAAGGCTTTCGAAAGAAAGTGGAGGGGCGTGAAGTCGTATCCTCAAGTCAATGGTCTGATGGATTATCTAACTATGGTCTAGACTAGTGGTACAACAAAGGTTCCTGTATCCCTTCGACTGTGAGAGCCGATCGTGTCGCTTCCTGCAGAGACCACATTTGTCATGATGTCTGTACTGAGCTGGGTTGCTGGGTCAAAAAAAAGAATTGGCGATGACCAAAACCCACCTTCCTCGACAAATAAGGGATCCAGAGAAAGGTCAGGCAGCCTGAAAAAGCAAAGTCTCGAGTCATCTCCTCGAAGAAGACGATGTTGGTGAACACCTCTCAGGCGGCAGCGATGCCAGTACTTGCACCGAAGAGCCTCTCACGCCGCATGATGAGAATCAGAATAGCGGTGAGCCCTCCGGCGGCAATAACCAGCGTGTATGTCTGATCTATGGCTTTGACAATGGCATCGAGAACCCGGGTCCTGAGCTCTGCAGAGAGACCACGCACAAGGCTTGAGCGGGCACCCAGGATTGCAGCTTGAATGTCAGCTGAGGGTGTGTTGGGCAAGATCTGTTCGATCCTGTCTTGGCTAGAGTTGAGGAGGATGGCATTGGCGATGGCTAAGGAGAGGGTAATTCCGACAAATTGGGCAAGAGTGATGAAGCCGATGGCTGGAGGGATATCAAGCGGCTTCACAACCGTTTGAACGACTGAGAAGGAAGCTTGTAGAAACATGCCGACTCCAGCGCCGATGATCACCGTGTAACCATACACGCGGCTTGTGGGCGTATCTTGCTCCACAGTGTACATGAGCGCGCCTCCCACAACAACCAGAAGGCCGCCCACCAGATACCATGGCATGTAATATCCCAGCTTGGGCATCAGAGCGCCATTGCTGAAGACAATAACTACCATTACGACAATGAAGGGAAGCAGACGGACTCCTGCATCCAATGGGCCATCATTGCGGGTAAACTGGAAGAAAATAGGGACCATGTAAATGGGCACGAACGAGCCTGCGCCACCGGTAGCGCAGACTACAAACAGGATGAGGACAGAACGAGAGCGGAAGAACTGGATGGGGATGGTGCGTCGATCGGGTGTGGTGAAGATGTTGAAGACTTGCTGGACGCCAAGGATAATGAAGAGAACCCCGGTAACAACGAACAACGCAATGATGCGGCCAGAGTCCCACGGGTATACAACGCCACCCAAGTTGACTGCCAGAATCAAGGCGGTG